GGAATTCGCTTTTGGACGACGTGTATTCTTTTTGTGAGAAACACAATATTGAAATGATCAATATGGAAGAAGATTATGTTGATTCAAGGAAGCCAAGAAAAAAGAGCAATATAAGCAACTTACATCACTATCAGGTAGATTGTTTCTATATTGTTATGGATTTGCAGCTTCAAGAACTTAATGATCGATTTGACGAGGTAAATTCAGAACTGCTCATTTGCATAGCATCTTTGAGTCCTGCTGACTCATTTCGTGAGTTTAACATGCCAAATCTAGTGAAATTGGCTGAATTTTATCCTGACAATTTCAGTTTTTTGGAGAAAGTGTCTCTTCGACATGAACTTAGTATCTACATCGACAATTTGACGAAAGATGATCGATTTTCTAATTTGACTAAGTAAATTCAGAACTGCTCATTTGCATAGCATCTTTGAGTCCTGCTGACTCATTTCGTGAGTTTAACATGCCAAATCTAGTGAAATTGGCTGAATTTTATCCTGACAATTTCAGTTTTTTGGAGAAAGTGTCTCTTCGACATGAACTTAGTATCTACATCGACAATTTGACGAAAGATGATCGATTTTCTAATTTGACTAACTTGGAGATCTTGCTCGTCTTATGGTGGAAACAAAGAAACATCTTTCATATCCATTGGTGTACAAACTTTTGAAGTTGGCTCTGATTTTGCCTGTTGCCACCGCGACTGTTGAGAGATACTTTTCAGGGATGAAATTTGTGAAGACAGTTTTACGCAATCGGATTGGTGATCAGTTTTTGAGTAATTGTCTAGTTTGTTTCATTGAAAAAGATATATTTCAGATGATTAGAAATAAAGTTGTTATGGATAATTTTCAAAAAATGAAGAACCGTAGAATTCAGTTGTAAAACATAAACAACTTTATGACGATTTATTTTTATTAATATTTTTTTTATATTTTATATCATTAATAATTGTTGCCCCCAGTGGAAAAAAAATTATGGGTCCGCCCCTGCCTATATATATATATATATATGTGTGTATAAGTAGTCTTACAATTCTTTGAAGAACACAAATTAAGTTCTAGCCGATCGAACAACAAACTCGCTGAGAACTAATGAGAACCTTTCCTTTGCGCCACGTGGTCGTATTAGCGGCCATACTGAATCTCTTATTGAATGATCCTCCATGTCACACTGTCACAGCCTCGAGGGCTCCATTGTATCTCCGTGAAGATTTTTAGCTTCATCACGAAGACGATGATGATCATGACCATGACCATGCTCATGATCGTTACCATAACCTTTTTCGTCCTTACATGATGAAGAACGCTGTCCCACGCAAGGCTAAGCCCATCCCTTTGCCGTCAGCGTCGGTCGCCAGCACAATGCAAGAGTCCTACAAACAACTCGCCCGTTCCAATGTAATGAGAGGGTGCTTTGGAGTTGATTCTTCAATATACAATGGGCTTTTTGACCCGGAAATTGCTATGCATTCGTTTTATTTATCTGTTAATTTAATGTTACGTTTCTCTATTTCGTTCAAATATATGATAACATTGCGGTATATAATTGGATTATGATTGGACAAAACTCAATCACAAAATCACAAGACAGAAACAGTCCAAAAAGAGCATATATATATATATATATATATATATATATGCTGCATATGCATATATCATCATCCAAAGAACCGTACAAACGGTAAATGTATTCACCACAAGAAATTGGGAATCATAAATATGATTCCCTTTTCAGAACTTATCTCCTTTTATGTCCAGACATCTAAGAAAATCAGTAACCACACGAACATATTATATAACATAACCACCTTTTCTGTAGCTTTGTACGATTGATTCAGAAAGTCTATGGCTTCCATGGCCGTGAATGTCAACCTCGGGGCGGATTCTTCCTGTTTCTAGGTTTAGGAACAGGACCTTTTCCGGGGTTCCCTATCGGCGGGTTTGGCGGCCTTACCGGTGGCTTGTGAGCCTTCATCACAACCTTTGTCTTCAACGACATGAATTGAGAAGAAAATCTTGATGGATAGGGATCAAAATCCGGCCCTTCGGGATTACTTGCGCCGCAAGAAAGAAATAACGGACGAGTAAGCAGTAAAAAGATCAAGAACAAGCATGGGGGAGTATTAGCCATGACCCTTGTTTTACGACCTTTTCTAAAACGTGGTTTCAAATATATGATCGCATATTATTTCCTCTTATATCCCCTCGATTACGTGATGCCGTGGTGAAGGGGGGATTATAAGTTAGTTCTTTGTATATTTTTAAACAATGATTAAAATAATCAATGGTTAAACATATTAAATTCTAATATTCAGATGTTTGACTAAAAATACAATACAACTAATATCATTTTCAAGCGAGAAAAATGCCGATAATGTTAGTTCGCAATGAATAAAAAAAATACACGAGATTTATTTTCTTTACTTTTTGGTCAAGAAAGTTGTGACGAGGTGATCGGGATATAATCTTTATCCTATTTAATTTTAATTCGAATACTCAAACTTCTAATTTTTTTTTTCCTTCATTACTGATTTATTAAATATTCCACATTTTAATATCCATACTTGTTAAAATAACCTAAGCCACGCGTTTTGTTTTTGTTTTTGTTTTGGTTTTGATTGTAATTGATCAAAACGACACATTTTTGAAACTTTTACAAATTTCACAAAAATTTAATATTAAAATGTAGAATAAATTAAAATTTCTATTTTAAAACAAGGGTACTAAACATGAGAAATCAACAACTAGAGATCAGGGCCGTCTCATTGTTAACGGAGCCTCGTGCAAATACTATATATTTATATTTATTTCTTATTTTTTAATCAATTTTAATATATATATATATATATATATACATATTGAGATTTTTTAAAAATATATATTTTTTCAATCATAAAATAGAAAACTAATTTTATAACATATTTTTTATGATAACATTCAACCCTTTGAAAGATTCAATATTAGATAACATAATCGTAATTTGTTTATATCTCATAGCATTGACTCTAAAAATACAAAGATCATCAAGAATTTCTTCTTTTTTTTAATATTATATATATTCATTTGTTTCAATTTATTCATAGTCAATCATTCGAAGGCTAAACTTTCCATCTTGGACCGTTGATCGTTTTGTTTGTAATAATCAGTGGAATTTCCCCTTATAGCATTATGAAGATCACGTAACTTCTCTTTGTACGCAAATTAAAAAGACAAATAGAAAAGGAATTGGAAAATCAACAAAGAAATCGCGTCAAACACATACACATGCTTCACTTGCCTCTTTATATAACTACGACAACAACGTTCTCCATTGACACTTTCATGATTCAGAGAGTTACTCGTTAAAACGTCTACATGCGGATTTCAACATTAAAGATTTCAAGAAAAGAAGGACAATCATTTTTTTTTTAATTACAGTAGAAAGTAGAAACCCCGTCAACTGTCTTTCGGATGCACATTAGGCAAACCTCGACCCTACACAATGATCTATAAACCACATATAACAGGTAAACCAGTCGAAAACTCATAATGAAAAGGATTGAACTCGTGACCTCATGATAAAGATAAGAGTTCTCAATCAACTGAGTTGGGGCTTTCCCAAAAGGACTATCATTTCTCATTAGTGAAGGGATGATGACAATCTCATCTTGTTCCGAGACAAAAAAGACTATAAGTTTTTGTTATTGTAGATCAAACTGCTTCTTTCGTAGATGAATCCGAACGAGAGGAAGAGTGGCCAAAGATTTTTCCGACGGCTAACTTGCGGAATATTTCCTTCTCTTGTTTAAGAAAGGTTTCATCTTCAAGTAATCTAAGTGCTCTCCCACTTAAGTTTTTTTTTTAAACTTCAACTCCCTAATCGATCTTTTAAGCATAAAATTATACGTTAATAGATGATGACATGAATATGATCAAGTGACTCTAAACTGTAAAGAAACAAAACCCTTTTGCATCAATGCACTGAAAATCCATCACTGATTCGGTAGCTCTTTCTGTCGTGTTGAAACTCCCCTTTTTGCAACGCTTAAAATGACCAAACCAAGTTTGGGTAATCTACTAGAAAGAGAAATGCAAAGTATGTTTTTATTTTGAATTCAAATTCAAACGTGGAGAGAAATATTCACCCGTACGTCTCCGATCTTCTGAAAAATATAATTGTATCAAAAGTTTAGTGAACTTTCGAATTATAAAAAAAAAAACCATTTAAGAGGACCATGCATGAACCAGCAGATGATTCAACACAATCAAATCTTTATAGAAAAAAATGTTTAGACATTACTTCATTTGTCTTAGCCTTTAATATGTTAAGTATATGTGTATACTTAATAAATGCGTGCTCAACATTCCACATAAGAATTAGGAATGAACTTTCACCTCTTAATATTACTTCATTTGTCCTTAGCCTTCAATACTCTCCATCTTTTGTATAGGAAAACTAGCATTTCTTTAAACGCCATCTCTTTAAATGATTTTTTTTTTCTACGTTTAAAGTTTTCATTGTCTAAGTAATTTTCCAGGTTTTATACCCATTATTTTAGATTTTATACCCATTATATTAATTTTTTTTACAAATTTAATTGGTGCTGTTTAGGAATGGGAATATTACAAAACACAAAATAAAAATAAATGTAACCCATCAGAAAATCTGAATAACCAATCCATAGAACATAACAAATTGCTCCAAGATTCGCTAGTTTTTTTATGAAGCAACTTGAAACTTCACACAGAATTTATATTACATACGGGTGGGGAGGGAGATAATTTCTGGATTTATATGATCCATATACAAAGTCTGTTTCGGGGCCCGAATGGTAACAGTTAGAAGTCCTCTGTTATAAAAAAAAAATTGTTGTATGTATAATCATAGTTTAAAATATATAAATAAAGTGATCCGTGAAATATTTAAATTATGTTATTTTAAATTCCTCTTCATCTTTCCTTTTCTTCTTCTTTCATTTTCTTTTCAAATTGAAGACGACGGATACAAATAAATAAACTGTTCGTTTTCTCGTGGGGCAGCAGAAGACGACGAGTGAAAGGGAACACTCGTCTCTTCCCTTTGTTCTGAAAACAAAAATGAGGAGCTAAAGAAAAAAAAAACACTCGTCTTCAGTTTGCGCAAATTCAAAATCGGTCATTCATTCAAAGACCCAGCTCGAGAATCATCGATTATCAGATATTTCAGGTTTCATTTCCCCAGATTTCTTTGGAAAAAAAAAACCAATTGCTCGATCCGTGAGTCAATTTCAGATTCTGGGTACTCTCTCGTTTTGGGGTGTTCTTAGTGCGTATCATTTTGTTCGAAGAAAAATGGCGAGCAGAAGAGAAGAAGAGCGAAACGAGAAGATTATTCGAGGTCTTATGAAGCTTCCCCCGAATCGGCGTTGTATAAACTGCAATAGCTTGGTAAAATTGCTCCCTTCTTTAACGTAGTTTGCCAGTTTATGTGATTCTTAATTTGAATTAGCTTTGATTTCTTGTGAGTTTCCTCGGCTGTACTGAGCTTTGAACTGATGGGTTTCTCAAGGAATTGTGATATTACCTGAACTTCAGCTTAAGTCTTCGCTTTCTTTTCAATTTTATTTCTCTCACCATGTTTCGACGACGGTGATTTTTTTTTTTTCCCGAGAAAGTATGGTTGGGTTTTCATTGATATTTGTTTGGCTGCTTGGAAAATACGAAAATGGAAAGACGATTTATGAAGTTGAAGTCTTTATCCAATAAAGTTCCGGGGTCAATTTCTTCTTGTTATAATGATACTTGCATTTTCAAAAGTATGAATTTCCATTTAGATAGTTGCTTAATCTTAGCCCTCTCCTTTTTTTTCCTCTGGTTTCATATACAAATTTTGATCTAATTCGTTATTATCATTGACAAATGCAGGGTCCTCAATACGTTTGCACGACTTTCTGGACTTTCGTTTGCATGGCTTGCAGTGGAATACAGTGAGTATCTGATATATACCTTATGACTCACTTTTCTTTTGGATTCTATGAATGTTTGTTGCCCTTGTGTGCAAATTTTCATAATTTTTACGTTTCGATCTCCCAATATTATCCGATGGCTCCTTGCATTTTTCCTGACTGGTTTCTATGATCTGATTATATGATCTGGGATTCTTACCTGAAGTTGTTTTACTGGTGGCTGGCTTATTTATGGTAGGTGATACTTTCCAAAGGGTGGTAGGAAAGTTTTTTTATTTCAACCGTTTGTTTTTCTTATTACTCTCATACTAGTTTAGCATAATCTTTTCAAATCGAAGAGCCGCCATGGGCCGCTGGCACTGATTTGAACTCTACACTCAGCAGATCCCGAGTTAGACTTGGCTGTTCTGCCCAATCATGTAAGAACCATTTGGGTTGGAGTTGCCATGACCTTTGTCTCCAGCTCGACCAATGATTGAGCCATTTACTGTACATTTAAGGTGCTCCCACCCTCCCCATTCCCTCAAGACACTGCCAGAAAAGCAAAATATTTCAAATCTGTTTCATACTCCCCTTTTCCTATGCTAGGGAAATTGTCAATTCTGATATGGGGGTTTGTTTTTTAGATCTTGTTGCTGCTTTTTTCTACAAAGGACTTTTCTGGTCTGGGCTGTGGTAATATAGTTTTGCCTCTTCTATCATCTTTCCTCAGATATATTACCTATCCCTTAGGATCGGGCATAATTTTATATGTGGATAAGGGTTTCCTTATGTCTGGTTTGGAGGTTTGATGTGCATTTAATTTATAGCTGTCTGTTTCTTGATTAGGGTTCTCTTATATGATGTGGAGAATGTTTGTGTTGGCAACTCTTCCTTTAGTTTCCCATTTTCATCATTTATATCGTTCAATGTCCGACAGCCGTGAATTTACTCATCGTGTGAAGTCTGTTTCTATGGCAAAGTTTACTTCTCAAGAAGTTGAAGCACTTCAAAATGGAGGTAATCAGGTACCAGCAATGCTAAACTTCCTCTTCTTCAATTTTTCTTCAGATACATACTTCTCAATGTAGCTCATGAATTCCTCTTTTCCAGCGTGCCAGAGAAATCTATTTGAAACACTGGGATTATCAACGACAAAGGCTTCCTGACAGCAGGTTTAAAACACTTCGTTTTTCTGTTAATCCTTATATGGAGGCTCAAGACATGGTTCTTCCCCCCCTCAAAGGTGATATATTTAAAAATTGTAAAATCATGTTGTTTTGTTTTTGCAGCAATGCTGATGGAGTCCGTGAATTTATAAAACATGTGTACGAGGGAAAAAAATATGCTGGAATGAATCCTTCGGACAAGCCTCCAAGAGATAGCCAGGCAAGATAGTCTTGCATCTTATATTCCAATTGGCAAAGTTCTAGACATTTCGCTCTAATTTTGGATTGTAGTTTTTGTCCAAATATGGACATGATTTGAAAAATGCATAGGGTTTTATCTTAGGTTTTTCCATTGTTTGGTAATTCTCCTTTTACTTAAAACAAAGTCTTTAAGAATCTGTCTATCATACTATTGATTTAAGCTCATCAAATTTGTGCTGAAGCAAAAGCCGATACGTGATTCTTATTGTAAACAATTATTCTTATGATTAGTCTGACATACTCTATCTCTAACCTCGTCTACAATTTCATTATCTTATAATTGACAGACTCGTAAAAGTTCTGAAAATGTGACACGACGTCCCGAGTCATATCATTCCTACTCCCAAAGCCCTCCTTACGATTATCAGTATGAAGAACGTCGCTATGGAAAACAACCGTTAGGACTCAACAGCAAGTCTGCTTCAGAAAGAAACCTTCATTCTAAAGCCTCTAGTTTTGCATTCAGCCCCGGAAGCTTTCGTGATCATATGTTTGAAGACCAGTTTGCAAATGAGGGCTCTGCTCCAAGGGCTTCAGATTTCTCCCTTTCTAGCGGAGGAGATCCTTTCAGGTCTGAAATAGGGTCTCCAAATTCCCTGAAGGAATTTGGATTTAGCAGTCCGAGGTTTGAACATTCCAATGTTCCTTCAAGTGAAAATCTTCAGCGCACTGCAACCCTATTTCCAGATGGGCAACATCAGGTACTGTGCTTCATAAGAACCAAAGGGTGAAATAGTTTCTGATGCTAACTAGTAGACATGTATTGTTGATTCTAGCTAAGAATTGTTTTATTGCAATTGAAAGTCATCTAGCTTGTATCAGAAGCACATATTGTTTTGTTCCAATCTTTCTTTAACTTGTTACTTTCAGAGAGCTACATCCTTTGGGAGTGTCAGATTGTTTGACAGTAATTCCATGTCCGTCAAGTCATATAACTTCAGTGGCGATGTGGATGGAGTTTCTGAAAATGATCAAAGAACAGGAAATAATCAAGACAAAACATCTGTTCCCGCTCCTTCAATTGATTTGTTTCAGTTGCCAGGGACACCTGTGGCTCATTCTGTTAATACATTCCAACCTTCTACGGTAGCACAATCTCCGCCAATGAATTTGTTTCAACCTTCCAATGCATATCCTTCCGGATCTGCAGACTTAGTTTCTGGGATTGTGGATCATCAATCTACTGTAAAACCACCAGATATTTCTGTTCCAAAGAATGGAGGATGGGCTACTTTTGACAGTCCTGTTCCTGCTGCTGAAC